CAGCTACCACCTTTTAGACCTGGTCATAATCATAAAATACCACTTATACAAGCTGCTAACCTAGTTAATAAAAGGTCTTATAGGGTATGCCAAATACTAAAAGGATATGATTGACAAGTTAGTACAAGAGTACTTAAAGTCAGGAGTGATACACAACAGTAGCAACCCCTATGCGAGTCCTATAGTATTGGTTGGGAAAAAAAGATGGGCCACGGAGGCTATTGTTGACTATAGGGATCTTAACAAAAACACTGTTGAGAACAAATTTCCAATCTCATTGGTGGAAGATTTAATGGATGAGCTGCATGGATCTTCAATCTTTTCCAAGATAGACTTAAGAGCTGAGTATAATCAGGTGAGAATGAACCCAGATGATGTTCATAAAACAACCTTCAGAACCCATTGAGGACATTATGAGTATGTGGTCATGCCTTTTGGCTTGACTAATGCACCTTCTACATTTTAAAGTCTTATGAATGTAGTATTTCAACAGTTTCTCAGGAAGTTTCTCTTAGTATTCTTCGATGATATACTTGTTTACAGTAGCAGTTTGGATGATCATGTTGTCCATCTTAGACAGGTTTTTGTTACTTTCAAGATAATTCTTGATTTGCTAGGAAGTCTAAATATATTTTTTCTATTAATAAAGTTGAATGCTTGGGGCTTTTCATTACTAAGGAAAGTGTGTCAATAGATCCTAGCAAGGTTAAAGCTATGAGGAATTGGCCACTACCACTGACTAACAAACAACTACAAGGTTTTTTGGAGTTAGCTAGTTACTATAGAAGGTTTGTAAAGGATTTTGGTGTTGTTGTTAAACCATTAAGTAACATGCTTAAGAAAGACAATTTTGTTTGGAGTTAAGAAGCTATGGTAGCATTTAAGCAGCTCAAGGAGTTATTAAGTAGTGCACTTGTATTGGCTTTACCTAACTAGACTAAGGTCTTCATTGTTGAGGTAAATGCTTCTGGTTATGGCATTGGAGCAATGCTTATGCAGGATCATCATCCCATAGCTTACATGAATAAAGTATTGAACAAACAACAACAATCTTTATCTACTTATGAAAAGAAATTACTGGTTGTAGTATTTGTTGTACAATGGTGGAGACATTATCTTCTTAACTGGCATTTTATAGTTAGAACTGATCATTATAGTCTGAAGTATTTACTGGAACAGAGATTGACCATTATTTTTCAACATAAGTGGTTAGTTAAGCTAATGGAATTTGATTTCTCTATTGAATATAAGCATGATCATGAAAATGTTGCAACTGATGCCTTGTCTCGAATTAAGCATGTAAAGGATTATGTGGAATGTTGTAATCTAACTACTTATCAATTACAATCTGATTTGGTGGATAGAAATAAGAATCCAATCGTTAATTAGTGAATTGCAAACTAATGCTGCCTCCCATAAACATCATACTTGGCATTCAGGAGAATTGAGGAGGAAGGGTAAACTAGTGGTGGGAAATGATCTTTTGAATTGACTACATTGTTCTGCTATTGGAGTTCATTCTAGTATTAGTGCTACTATGTAAAGAGTCAAGTTAGTGGTCTATTGGAGGAGTATGTCAAATGTTAAGACATTTGTGTCCAAGTGTGCTACCTGTCAAAAATGCAAGAGTGTGACCACTGCTTCACTTGGACTACTACAACCACTCCCAATTCCTGAGCAGATTTGGCAGCACATTAACATGGACTTTATTGAAGGTTTACCCAGTTCTCATGAGAAGTAAGTGATATTTGTAGTAGTTGACAGATTGAGTAAATCCACTCATTTTATGGCCTTATCACACCCTTATATAGCTAGTGAGGTAGCACAAACTTTCATGGATCATATCTTCAAGTTGCATGGTTGTCCAAGTTCAATAACCCGTGATAGAGATCCAGTATTTGTTAGCAATTTTTGGTAGGAATTCATGGCATTCCAAAGCATTCAAGTTCAACTTTCTTCAAGCTATCATCCTCAAATGGATGGTCAAAGTGAGATTGTGAAAAAGTGTTTAAAAACTTACCTAAGATGCATGTGTCCAAATACTCCCTATTAGTGGAGTAAATGGCTTCCTCTAGCTGAGTGGTGGTATAACACCACTTATCATATAGTCATTAAAGCTACTCCATATTAACTCGTGTATGGTCAACCACCTCCAGCTTATCTTCCGTACTTACCAGACGAATCCAAGGTTGAGTTGGTTGATAAAACCTTGTCAAAAAGAGAAGAGATGCTTAAATTGCTCAAATTTCATTTGAAAAGAGCTTAAGAGAGAATGAAGCAACTTACTGATCAACATAGAAAAGAGAAGCAGTATCAGATAGGAGATTTGGTTTATTTGAAATTGTATCCGTATAGACAGGTGTTAGTGACTTATAAGAGCAATGCTAAATTAAGTCCTAAGTTCTTTGGGCCTTCCAAGGTACTAGATCAAATTGGAGAAGTGGCCTACAAATTAGAATTGTCATTACAGTCAAAAGTACACAATGTATTTCATGTTTCTCAACTTAAGAAACATGTTGGCAATACAACAACTTCATTAGATTTACCATTTTAAGATGAAGATGCGTTTAGTGAAGAAGAACCTAATGCTATATTGGATAGGATGACAGTGAAAAGGAAAGGTATAGTTGTAACCAAGGTACTAGTTAAATGGAAGCATAGACTTCTAGAAGACTCTACATAAGAATTCTACTATGACCTCAAAAAGAAGTATCTTTCATTTCATCCTTGAGGTCAAGGATGCTTTCAAGAGAAAGACATTGTGATGAAGAAATTTTAGAATAAGATTTGAGGCTTGTATCCTTGCTGAGTCAGCAAGTCAGTTAGTTGTCAGTTTCTATTTTGGAAAGGAAGTTAAAGTTAGTTAAGCTATAAATAACAGGTGGATAAACTAATTTAATTGATTCATGAATTGTAATTCTTCCTGTATTCTTCTTATCAATAATAATACTCTTTTCTTATTCCTTTCTCACATAGGTATCTCTATTCATTCTTGTTCTTTGAATTGTTGCAATTCCTAGTTCTAAGAAATTTCATAACGGTTCCCAATAGCGTTAAAGGCAAAGTAGGGTCCTCCCCAACTGTTAACATTATATTATAGAGGAGAAAAGATATTGAGTAGCAAGAAGTGAGTTTTGAAAGGGGAAAAAGAAAAAAGAGACAATAGTTTGTAATGCTTGTTTATAGACTTTATGGGTAAACAATCAAAAAGTGGGATGAATTCCTTTGTTCTCATAGGAATCTATTGCAACACCTTTTTTAACATCTGATTGAGGTTTAGGGTTTTTGAAATTGAAGATTTTGGTGTTGGTGAGTTATATGATATTTTTTATGAAAACTATGGATAAATTGCAATTGAGTTTTTTAGACTCCCAAAACTTTTATTTTTCATTCAAAACCTTAATTTGAAAAATAGAGAGGGTGAAGAAGGTGCTACAAAAAATACAGGAAAAAAGGAGAGAAAGTGACAATAGTGACTTTTTAAAAATAAATTAAATACCTTTTTAAAAAAATATAAATATTAATTTTTAAATAATAAAATATTAAAAATAATGATAATGTGGCAATGATAAATTAAACTTTTATTATCTAATTCATCATTTAATATAATTTAATTGTCAATAAAAATTATTTTAAATATTCTAAAATATTAAAGATAAAATTTTAATAAATATTTTAATGATTAAATTTAGAGAGTGCAATAAAACCTAAGATAATTTACCAATGATGTTCGTCAATTAGCAAACTTGGAAGAATGATTTTATAGTAGAAGTGCAACATTGCCATGAAGATGCTAAACAATAACTCTAAATATTAACTGTGTTTCTTTATTGAAATTAAATAGAAGGAAGGGGAGTTTTAAAAAAATTATTAAACTATATTTGTTTGGTTTTAAATTTTTTTTAAAAAAAAGTCCGAATCAAATTTCTTCACTCAAATTTTTACCCTTCCAGTATTAGTTATATTTGGAAGGGAGAAAAAACAGTTTATAATTTTTGAAGTGTACTCAAATTATTCTTGAGATTCTACTCATCTTCTGTAGTCCTCACCCACTTTATTATTACCTATATGGTTAAAACACATCTATATTACTAATTTCTTTTTATCTCTTCCTAACCAGCGAAGTTGCTGAAGTTAAGAATAAGTAAAAATGCCTCATATTAAATGAGAACAAAAAATTTAAGATACGAGTTACAATAACCTATAACTCAATAATATTAAGATTTTGAGTTTAATTTGATATTTAAGTTAGCTTGTATAATTTGTTCATGACACATTTATAAAGATATGATATTTTAAACCCCTCTTGTGCCCCAACAGAAAATTTTATTTTATTTTCTTTTCTTTTCCATTCCATTCCTTCTTTCCTTTAAATTCCTTTCCTTTCCTTTCTTTCTTTGAACCAATATTTAAGTATTTTTAATTTTAAAATAAAAAGATAAATCATTAATATATATAATTGGTGAGTTACAAATAGAGTTAAATTCTCATATAATAGAAAGAGTAATGATTTACCTTTTATTTAACTCTTTTCCTTTAAATTTTAAAAATTTAAGGTGGATGAATTAATTTTAACTTATGAAAAAATCATTTATATTCTATAATTTTGTTTCTTTTCTTATAAAAATTTATTTAAAAGTTTATTCAAATTAACCTTAAATTTAATATATTAAATAATTTGTAAATATAAGACAGGTTACGAAGTAAAATACTTATAGTTGCACCCAACCCTATAATTTTTGTACCTATATACTCGCACCAATACTTATTCAGTGGATATTTTTGTGACTACACATTCAGTTTAAATCTAATTGACATCTCTCGGCTCAATCTTTCAGAAACCAAAAGTCCATATCCTCTAAAACATTTTCACATCATTTAGCCTGTCATCAATCATGAGATTATAAAATTAGTTTTAATGAATTAATTAAATCTGTTTCTACCGTTTTTACTCATTAAAAATTGCTTATAGTTCCTTGTTTTGACTCTACATTATGCAGCATGAAATCTGTTATTGAGCGCTTTAACAAGCTGAAAGAGGAACAACATCAGCTCATGAATCCTGCTTCAGAAGTCAAGGTAAGTGTTTGTGCACCATCTATTCAATTGTCTTTAAGCTTTTGAGCATTATATTACTACACATTTATAATTCTAGTAGTTTGCACAAAAATTCTTGCTCAATTTCTTTGGAAGGTTAGCTAAACCACACAAACTTGAATTGTAGCGACTGAAGTTGAAAGTTGAACCACTAAGGTCTAATATGACAAACGACATATCATCTAGCCTCATACCAATAACAGATGGTGTCAATAGTAGTCGGAATTCTCTCAAAATCTAATTTGCATCTACTAACAGATGCACATGCTTACGTATTCACCCATAAATGTTGACTATTTTGTGAAACTCATCCCATATATTAACAGTTTACACGTTTTATGTATAAGTATAGTGTGCTACAGCTTGAATGTGCATAAGATTAAATTTACATCCCCCAACCATCCACTTCTAGCTCGAGAAATTAATAGTCTAGTCTATTAGCTTCACTGACCAGTCCAAATAGTTAGAACTTCTTGTAAGCTGTTAATATGACAAGAATCGAAGAACTAGTATCGTTAGACTTCCAGAATAAGGGGGGGGGGGGGTTGAGATTTAGGAAACCTCAATTGATTCTGGCAAAAATTAAGGCTAAAAATTCTTGCTCATAGCAAAAAATAAAAGGCTCATCAGCAGTTTACTGTGGTATGTAGTATGCTTAGGAAAATCTAAACCTTTTACGTGGAATTGACATCTGGAAGGAATATACTAGATTAATGTCAGCATTGTAGCAACTATTATGCATGAACCAATTGCAAACAAAAAACCCTGCCTAGTAAACAATATTGTACTAACATGTCCTGTCATTCCTAGCCTGCCCTAAGTATCAAGAAGTTTTACTTATAGAAGGATTCGTGACACCATTCTGCAGGTCGTCTTCGACTGGCAAGAAATGCCACCTCAACTATTGAGATTCTTCTGTTAGACATCCAATTCGACCATCACCAGTTTGATAGGTTTGTATGTTAACTACCATAGAAAATTACATACTTTTTCAATTTTAGGAAAGCTCACTGCCTCTGAATTATTAAATCAGTTATGGAGTCGGACGGTAGGTCTGCAAATCAACTTAACTAAGATAATGGACCATGATATATTTCGTAAAAGAGCCCCATTTTACCTCGTACAAAAGAAATATACCAACACTTTCGTATATATGCAATTGTATAGTCCACTTTAGTTTTCAGTATTCCCTTGAAGGCATTTACCCTTACTGTCCACTCTGGCTTAAAGTTTAAGTATTTTGGATCCATTATACAAATCAAAGGAGCACCTGAAAAACAGAGTAGCGAACTACACTTTTATGTGTCTACTAACCCAGTTTTCTATTTAGACTCTCTTCGGCTCCATGGATGAAAAGCGAAACATTGAGGATCAACCACTAAAGAGGTGCAAAACTAACTTGAAAATGTCTTCCTATACACCTAACTGATGTCCATCATTAGCATAATAATTGTGAAATAATTGAGAAAATCACCGTATTAACAATAATTAAGTTTTAAAAGCATCCTCACGTTGGTTCTTTAACCCTAATGATATAGTCTTCAAATTTTCTACCCTGCAATTCTTGCATTTAAAATAATTTCCTTAAATAATAACAGTCTAATATATTTGATTTCTGCATTTCTACTTGCTAGTTTTGGCAGACAGAAGCAGCAAGCTTGAGGCAACAACTGCAGTATTTGCAAGAATGCCACAGGTAAAAACAAATAAACACCCAGCAATTGCATAATTTTACTAGGAGCAAGCCAGAAATATAGAATGTAACAGGTTATATTGTCAGATTTGGTTCCACAAAAATAAGATGTAAAACGATGTCTCACATTAGTTAAGAAATAGAATCAGAATACTTCTTATAAAGACTTATATAATCCTCTTTCTAAGAGTAAGCTTTTAAGACTGAGTTAAGTCTAAATTTGTTAATATAATATCAAAATCTATCCAATTCTATTGAGCTATCTGCAGATGTTCAATCCTACAAACTTTACACACTAAGTCCAGCAATAATCATGAGAAGGATGTGTTAAGATATCTTACATTGACTAAGAATATAATCAAAATACTCCTTATAAAGGCTTTTGTAGTCTTCCTCAAGCTAGCTTTTGAAAGCAAGTAAAACTAAGTGTTTTAATTGTATCCAACAATGATTTAAAGTAACTTTGAGAGATACCTAAACGGCGGTTGATAATCCTTTATTTTGTCACTTCACATATTTCTTCACTTTATAAAAAGCCAATCTATCACCCTCCTTGGGATAAAAAAAAGATTATTGGGAAGTGCAAAATAGAAAAAGGAGGAGTTTTTCATCATGCAAAACATGGTATTGAAATATATTAAAGATTAGCTGATATATTCTCCATTTATTAGTAAGTCAAACACTTGACGGAACCACCACAGAACTATGACGTGTAGGAGAAGCTACAGCCTACAAGATCCAAAAAGTTAATTCAATAGCTCATTAATGAAATAAACTCCATGGTAAACGATATAATCTGATCTACTGATTCTCTATAGGGTTTTACTCGGTAAACCATGTAATGCCACCTGAAAACATTTGCTCATAATTCAAGAAATTTTTAAATCACACAACTTTTGCCTCTTAAATGCAAATCAAATATACCAATGCTAATTAAAAACTTATGCTCAGAAACTTAAAATATCTTTCTGTTATGAGATAAACAAGTCTCAAATCAGAAAGCATTTTATACTCATTCTTTTCTTTTTGGTAAAAGCAGGCAATTGATGGGTGAAGAACTTTCTGGTTTGGGTATTAAAGAACTACAAAATCTAGAAAACCAACTGGAGATGAGTTTAAAGGGTGTTCGCATGAAAAAGGTATGATGTGTCAGTTCAAATCAAATCTCGATTCCATCCTTTTGATGGTACATTCATAACTCTTACATAATCTATTTCCCTGCAGGATCAAATTTTAACTAATGAGATTAAAGAACTACGCCAAAAGGTTTAAGGAGTCTGGTTTTGTTCTTGCCATGTTTGACTAAGGTTTTCCCACTAAATTATGACCAATTTGCACTAATGCCATTGTAGGGAAATCTCATTCATCAAGAAAATGTAGAACTCTACACAAAGATGGAGCAAATTCAAAAAGAAAATGCAGAGCTACAGAAGAAGGTATATGATCAAGAAAACACATTCTATAATTCAAGAACCTGCTATTCATCTTTTCATAAATACATGTGCATGCCTAACATAAGCATGTACAAAGAACAAGTCTGCACAGGCACAAGCACTTCATATATCAAATAGATAATTCACTCATTATTAGTCTTAGTTCTATTAATCTAGAAGCTAAAGGCTTCTAGTTTTCTTTAAGCTAAACCTAAACCGAAGATTTGGATCTAAGGTTTATGAAGCAAGGAGTACAAATGAAGAAAATTCGGCATCCAATCCTTCATACACGTTCACAAATGGATATGATTTACATGCACCGTTCAGTCTCCAGCTAAGTCAGCCACAGCCTCAATACAGTGAACCACCAGCCAAAGCAATGAAACTGGGGTATTCCCTCAACCTCATAATATATAACCTGCAGCTCAAGTCTATAACTTTTCTTTTTAATTTCATTAGAAAGTAGAAACTAAACACCTAATCTCTGCACCAGATTACAGCTGCATTAGCAAAAACTGTTCAATAATCAGAGGTTTCTGACCAGCCGTCAACACGTTCTATGAGTGATCAAGCTTCTATGAATGGGGTCTTGTAGTTCATCAACCACATTTGTTCCAATCAACAGTGAAATGCATATATGGTATGATCTATCAAGAAGCTTACAATTGTAGTTAAGGATCAAACACTACGACTACCTCTGTAAATTTTATGCAATAAAGATATCAAAAATTGTGCCTGGTGTTGTTTTATATAGTCTCTACATCTGTCGTGATCAATTAAATGGAACTCAGAACACAACCACCTGAACCTATACCTTTAATAAGCAATCCACAATGCATGAGAAACTATGTAGTTCATACTGTAACAGTAATTGTATTGTATTCCTCTCAAGTGAATGAGTACTAAGCATGACTTACGATTCTTCACAATGAATTACAATAAAGAGGTAACCTGGAATCATACAAACCAATATATAATGCAACATTATCAATAAAGAAATCAAGGACTTAACTACGCAGGCCTGCTCTGTGCATATCTTACACACATGCCACAGAAACAGATCAATTGGAGTACTAGACAGTAGGAAAAACTCCAACTTCAGAAGCACAACAAAAAATATAATTACATAGTTAAAGCATCTGAATATTCTGACCAACTTCACAGTCATAAACATGAAATACACAGATGACTTTACAAACAGACAAAGAAAAGCTACAACATCTACAGGCCTTGTCTACTGTAGTTATTGTTGAACAAATTAATGAATAAAAAATTATTCATACCCATTTCAACACACACGCAACCAGTGATATATTGTCATTACTAACTCATCTAAGAAATGGTAATAGTTGACAACACATCCAGTATGATTGCAAGAATTAAAGGAATGTCAACAACAATCAGTAAACTCTACAAACAGCAAAACTTAAAAAAACCCAATTGCTGATAGCACACAATTCCATTTTGCCCAATCTAACGAAGTTACAGCATTTTACAAACAAGCATGTAACATCTAAGGTTCTATGTATGATGTTAAATCACATAGCCACATGTCAAAGGGAACTTGATCATTAAACTCAATATCATCCTAGTAAAGTGCCACCAAGGAAACAATTTAGGTCAGGATACAATGACCTTCTAAATTCTGAAGGGTTACCATATATAATATATCATAAGCAAGGTAAAATTAATCGAAGCACATAAAGCAACTAAAAAGAGCAGTGGCAAGGCATGCTCCAACACTTATATTTTTGTGAATTATTACCATATAAATTTAGTATGAAATAGTCGAGAATAACAAAAACAATCTCATTTTGCAGATGCATCAACCAAGTAATAGAACAATCTGAAGCAATATTGAAGTAGGCATACATTATCATGGACAACCATGGATTGCTTTCGCTATAAGTGAAGGTAAAATAATTTTTTTCCCAAAATGATGCTCATAATGAGTAAAATCCAATTTGTTACAAACCATTCTGTATCATCAAATAAGATTGTCAATTAACAATCCTCAAATGCAAAATTTCAACTGTTAAACTTACTTTTATGACCTCCCTTGACATCTCATGTACAAGACAGCAGAAATAAATTATTGACTTATAGGAGCCAATCATTTGACAGTTGACACAAATATTCACATGATTCTTGTCTATCTTTAAAACAGATTTGAATCATCTTCTGTTATGGTGGAAATAGGACAGTTCTATTTTAACTAAAGTGAATTGAGACACTTAAGTGAATCATGCAAGACTGGACGTGCAAAGTAGTGAAAATGTCCTTACGCAGATCTCAATTCGCTTAAGTGTATCCAATGCAATTGATTTGCTACTCTTCCAAAGACATCGTTATCCATCTCCGCTCGCTATGCCTTACTAGTTCCACCCAATCCCTCCACAGGATCCCATCTTGCTCTACTCCAAAAGTTAGTTTCTATTTTATTTTCATATAATCTTCGATCACAATCAGCTTCTTCAATTCCCCAATTCCAGAGATTCTTATTCTCCTTTGAAATCCGAAGCACTTCCCATTTTTCTATGCCTCTATTTATTTATTTCCTTTAGCAACTTTTGCGATTATCGGCACAATAGATTTTCTTTTCCACAAATTCTTATCTCAATCATGTGTGAGAACTTTTAGAGGCATGTTTAAAGATTTTTCAATTAGAATAGGTTTACATCAAGGTTCAGCTTTGAGCCCTCGTTTAATCTAGTTCTAAATGTGCTTACAAATGACATACAAACTATTATCACTTGATGCATGCATTTGCAGATGATATAGTATTGGTCGATGATTCGAAAGAAAAGGTTAATGACTTAAAGTTAAACTCAAGTTATGGAAGGAGACTTTAGAATTTAAAAATTTTCGCTTGAGTAGAAATAAGACAGAGTATATGCATTGCAAGTTTAGCAAAATCCAGGAGAGGGATCAAGCATTGAAAATTAATCTTGGAGAAAATATAGCACAAGTTTCCATTTTTAGGTACTTGGGATCAATTGCACAACATGATGAAAAAATTAATAAAAATATTACTTATACAATACAAGCTGAGTGGTAAAAAAGAAAAAAAAATCAGGAGTTACTTGTAATAGTAAAGTACTAATCAAGTTAAAAAGAAAGTTTTACCGTGCTACAATACAATTAGTTATCCTATATAGTAATAAATGTTAGACCTTAAAGAAACAACACGAGAAAAAAGAGGAAGTAGCAAAAATGAAAATACTAAGGTGAATGAATGGACACATGGAAAAGGACAGAATACAAAATAATAGTATACGAAAAAATATTGGAGTAACACTTATAATGGAAAAGATGATTGAAACTCGTCTAAGGAGATTTGGTCATGTGCAGAAAAGACCTTTGGAGACATCAGTAAAGAAATTGGATTGCATGACTCTTAGTCTACGAAAGAGGGGTCAAGAGAGACCTAAAAGAACCTTAAATGAAGTTATTAAAAGAGACTTTTTGATTAACTATATTTCTGAAAATTTGATTTTTAACCGAACTTAATGGCGTCGTGTAATCCATGTACCCTACCTCACTTAGTGTGATAAAGCTTGATTGTTGTTGTTCTTGATTCTTACCTCAACACAATGTGATCTATATAACCTTGGTGTTTTCAGCTACATTTTGAGACTTCCGCCATTTTTTTGGGGTTTTAGGATTTCTTCTTATCTATTCTTCAATTCCAATACAGTGGTATTCTAGTACATGTTCTTGTTTTTTCAATCTCAGTTGCTGTATTCGCCACTGAACTTTGTAGGGTCTATTTTGTTGTTGAGTTTCACTCAAGTTTGTTGTTGTCTTATGGTGGAATTGGTTTGCTTTCCGAACCCTCCCTCGTGATCTAGGGTGTTCTAGTGCCACTAGGGTTATCTTTTTTCTTCATTGGAGTTTGGGTGATCTAGATTTGGGTTGAGGGGAGGGGTTTGTTGGAATCACTTATTGGATTCAATCATTTGAAGGATTTTTAAGCTAAGTTGCAACCATGCTTCCTGATTAAAGAACTTAGAAGAAGTGTGATTCCCATCCTCGAGGACAGCGCTGGTACAAATTACTAGGGGGTGACAATGCCAATGATTCACTTGAGTGAATTTTCACTGTTTGTGTGAATAGTTTTGGAAGATTTGCTTAAACGAAAATAAAATTAGACAGTCTTATTCCAGCCACAACAGGAGAAGATCTGAATCCCTTTAAAACTTGATAATTATAGGGCAATATGTGCTTTAAAAGCAAATGCACAAATTATTCCTAACTAAATTAAGATATTGACTTTGCATGGGTGAAAAATGGCATCCAAGACTATTAGATGATTTTAAATTTTGAATTAAAGCAGCACAGTTCAAGAAAAACAGATAATAAGACCAAGCAACAACTTTTTATTGAACCACACATTCCAAGGAAAGATCTAATGAGAAACTGTTTAGCAAAACTAACCAGTAACCACCAGTAAGAAGCCATGGAGAAACAAAAAATCCTGACAATGTGTAGAGATGAACTAGACCAACCAATTTAATTATATCCAATTTTATACTCTATACAAACAAGAGATGGCTAGTGCTTTGAAACCTGAACAAATACGCAGCAGGCTTTTGCTTCATGTTGAAAAAATAGTTTTACCAAACTAGTTTACTGACCTTCCTTGCCTCCTGCCTACCATCTCAACTGTTCCATTTATTAAAGACAATATATATAGGTGTAGGTGAATTACA